ATATATCAATAGTAATACCAGAAAAATAATAGAAAATTTTTGCTTTTAGCAATACTTCGATTATACGTTAGTATATAAAGAATGGTTTTGCGATCGAAGGAATGTTTCGAATAAAAGTTTTTACACATTTTTCATTGTATTCCTACAGCTATTTCTTGGAATTTCATCTATGCTGCGCATACCAACGATATGTGTAATCTATGTGCCTTGTTGAATCTGACGTTTCTATCTGACCACCCGGTACGAGCACAACGGACGAAACTCGGGAGTCACAATCGGGACATATTTTCCAATGCGAGACGGCCCGGGGATGTCGGCGTACATTCGACGAAAACTTTTGCAACTCGAGCGTGAGCGGTCTTTCTGTCTTGCAGCGTTTTCCAAAGTACCGCGAGCTATCAGGTAAACACATCCGTTGGATCGACCTACTTGGACAGGATTTAGAGGACGGTTTACTGCGATCCATCAATATGGTGGACACTGTCCGACGGATAAAATATGGGAAAGAGACGCGTGAGCAACGATTCATCTTACGTGTAGATGACTTAAAGGTCCATGCCGTCTTGATCTAACAATCTAATTATTCTCGCGGGACTAATATATCGTCGACGAGTCAACAATAACGACATATCGATTAGGTCGATGAGTGATTTTAAAAGAATTACGGCGAGCTTGGAAATAAATGGTACTATACGTGATTTTATCATCTTTGTCAGCAAAAACTCGGCGATAAATGTATCGGTCCTCGATACACTGCATTCCCGATTTATACAGATGCAATATTAATATACATATATCCATATACGTTGGTTAATACTTCGAATCCGGAGAGCGTTTAACATCACGGTGGGATTTGGAGTGTACCCCCACTGGATTCAAAGTGTTAATTATACCGAACGACACAGACTAATGGGAGCTATTATCTCGAGACATACGAGCATTAAATTAGCGTTAATGATAATCAACTATCATAATTGATATATGATCTATTTCCCTTCTTTTAAGGCTTCGGTATTTTCACCATCATCGATTCTCTGCGAGTCTAAATGATAGAAGTAATAGAATTATTAATCTGCAGTATTAATTAATTAAGAAGCTTTTTGGAAAAGGAAGATCGACAAAAGATATCGATAATTACGGTTATACATCTTTTATTTGGTTAAAGTGGATTTTGATGTTTAATAATATTCATATGCACGAATCTATTTTTCAGTTCTATAAACTGCACTCTGATTTGGTTTGTCGAACTAGAATTGCAATCATAAATTGAAACTGAAAATAACATCACAAATAATAATAATCGTCAATTCAATAATAAAGCTAATAAGTATCTTAAAACACAGGAAAAAACTTATTACAAAAAATATCACAAATGATAACGTTGAATTGATAAAACGTTCGAAAAAAGTCGAGAGGTTCCAGGTTCAGATCCTGGTTGAAATGATATTTTTCGTAATAAGTTCATTGTAATGTTTTAAAATGCTTATTAGCATCGTTATTAAATTGTCGATCAATATAATTTGTGTATTTTTATCTTCAGTTTATGATTTCAAGTTTGACAAACCGAATCAGTGCAGTTCAAAAAATTGAAAAATGTATTTGCAAATTCACTCATGAATATTATTAAGCTTCGCTTTGACCGAATATAAGATTCTTTCTCTTATTTGATTTATTCTTATCAGGCTAGTTTTCACTTAAAATTGTTATATATTCTTATTTTTTACAACGTTATTAGATACATTTCGCAAGGTTGATAATAAGCGCGCGAACTGTATATTTTATACGAGCTGAGTTTTCGCAACGCGATGGAAAAATCGCAGACTCGGGTCGACGTCGAAAGCACTCGACGGCTCCTCGAATTTCTGACCAGACGAAATCGCCGTTCACCATCTTCCGATTCGTGTTGTATCGTCCTTACGAATCGACGCTTTCTGCCGAACAGACACACGATGCTTTCTCAGCATCGAGTCGCGCGCTTTTTCACCTTTAGATTGACATCTACACCTATCTCTCTACCACTCGGGGAACCACCTTTATGCGATACCTTCGGGCAACATCTTCTTGCTCAGTGACTATTTCTTTTATTTTAGCAGCCAAATTTCTCGCACCGCCACCAATCCTCTTTCTGCTTCCGTCATGTTCCATGCCATTCCATCTTTCGCTTACTTAATCGATGCGAGCGATCCAATTTCTCGTTTCGTTAAATATTGAATTAATAGCGTAAATCGAGGACTAATGTGTCCCGGATTTACACGAATAAAAATGGAACTTTATTTCTTCTTACGAGATTCAGTTATAAAGATATATTATTAAAATAATATTAGATTATCAAAAACTTTTCATTATTCTGCTCATATTTTCGAAACCTTGTTGAATGTATATTCGAGTTACATTAAAATAAAGCACAAATAAAGTCAGTGAAGCAGGAAATATCGCAGTATTCTTTCAACAAAATAGTTGTTTTATGTATAATGTTTCTCATTCATTTTACAAATGGATATACGTGTACGGAAAACTCTGAATAATAATTGTATTTATACCATACTGTTTTGACATAGTTCTTTCTCTTTCATATCTTACATCTCTTAATAGAAGACAGTAAAAAACATTGTATTCTATTTCCGAGAAAAAAAAAACAGATATAAATATATAAAATGTCTTTTTCCAAGAACTTTCACATAACTCTCTTTTTGATAAAAATATTCAAATTTGGATATTCGACGTGATTAACAAATTTACAACACGAAAGTGTCATGATCGCATTTCTCCATCAATCATTCTGTCGGTATCGATCGATGATCTATAAAACGTTTCTCAGGTGGATCAGCGGTCCTAGGAACGCGCTTCGCTCATTAAGAATTTCTTTCACTTTCAGATCGAAGGGTTGTTCAACAATTTTTCCGCGCTTCTCGTTGCTAATGTTCTCGCTGGAGGAGCAAATCTGAGAGCGCAACCCCTTCCGGCCCTAATAGGTACGCACCACCACATTCCTTCATTTCTCCGCGCCCTCACCTGCGTCCTAGACTCCTAGCGTTATACAACAACGGACAGACAGACAGGCACCGACGAAGAACAACCCTCTCGCACCACCGTAACCCTCTGTTTCTCCTCCGGTCTTCTCCCTCGACGCGCGGCTGCGCAGAGGAACGGCGCGAGGCGTCGGCGTCGACGTCGTCGTCGGCGTCGGCGTCGGCGTCATGCCGGGGGCGTCGCACCATCGTCGTCGGCAGCGAGCGTCTCGACCGAGTATCGCTTCGTCTCGCCAGGCTAGTATCAAGCCGGGAGCCGTCGAGAGGGTCGATCCATCTCCGGGAAACGGTCTACTGATCGCGACCAGCAGCCACGACAAGAAACGGTGAACGGGATTGTACGTGGTTCGCGCGCGTTATTCCGACGTGTACGTTCGATTTCGCTTCCGGGTGGCGAGAGAAAGAGCGAACGCGCACGAGAGATAGAGAGAGAGAGAGAGAGAGAGAGAGAGGGAGAGAGAGGGAGAGAGGGAGAGGGAGAGAGAAGGAAAAATGGAGCGCGCGGCCGGATCGATCGCGATACGAACGGATGGCTGACTCGAGAGTGAACCGCGAGCAAGTAGCGTAGTCGTCTGACTCGACCCGACGTGCAAGATCCGTGCTGTGCTCTGTCGGCGCCATTGAAACGCCACCACGAGCTCGCCACGGGGAAAACGGCGACGTCGCGAACGTGCCGAGTGATCATCCCCCGGCATCTCTCGCGATTCTGCGTCGCGGACAGCGGAGAGGGAGGGACAGAGCCTGGTGTGTGGTGAAAGTGCTCATCGCGTGATTAGGTCGAGGTCGTGTCGCTCGTCGCAGGGACCCGCTCTCTCTCCATCCCGGTTGACCTTCGGTGCCGGGGATGAAGCGCGAAATCAGGTGACGTTCCACGCGATTCGGATTGACTTGCTCGAGCCATTCCGCGAGCAATTCCGAGACGTGTATCCCGCCGAAAGAGCCGCGGTGAAAGTGTGTCATCGACGCGAAGCGTTACGAGGTGACTCTCGAGGTTTAGATCGCGACTTAGGCATCCTCGACGCGAAGTCTCGATATCTCGACACATCGTGACAGTCGTCCCTGCATTGTTATACGCAATCTATCTAAGGATTCTTTAAGATACGGAAGCTCGGAGAAACAGCAAGAAAGTCGTACCAACGATCTTTTGACAATTATTGAATTTTCCATATCTTCTTCTCGGTAGAGATTGCCGAGTCTAGATTCAAATGCGCAATTAAAAGACTCTCTCAGCAAACAATGTATATACGTAATTTATTTTGTCATTGATTTCTGAAGAGTTAACTTCTTTGCTCCTTGTGCTTCGATGTTACTGACAGTCTACCAGTGGAATGAGTCCGAAGAAATAACTGGTCATCTTTTCAAAAACCAGAATCTTAGAGGGAACGAGAAAAGGCATTAGATGTGTCTTGTGACGGATTGTAAAGAAAGAAAGTCGCGCTCTGTGAGACATCTGAGCAAAACGTCGATATTTCTTCTGCTTCATCGAACATACTTTAGTGACTGTGATTGATATTGATTGATTTTCTGTAAAAATATAATGCTGGTACAAGGAGATTGAACTTTACTGTAATTGAATGGCGTATTAAGTACTAAATCTAAGAGGAAAGTACCGCCATTCTAGTCTCAATCTCCGGTTTAAATTGTACATATAATAAACGTAATTGAAAGGCGCTTATCCCTCGAGAAACCTTTCGTTGTCAATCGATTGGTGTACATTATACGCGCGTTAAAGAGACACAAATATTGTGGATTCTCTCATTGCGTTTTCAGTGTTTTTAGAGTGAACTCGGGAGGTAATTTACGAATCTTGATGCGTCCAATTAACAGACTGAACTTGAAATTGAAGACATATCCAGAAATATCGACTTTTATGAAAATAATGAACGAATTTCATGCTAACTAAAATAATTCTATTTGAGATAAGATTTAAAAAAGGGTATCATTTTACGAATAATTACTACCAAAGTTTTCATAAGCATTTATCGTTGTAACTTTCTCAAAAGGAGGCTTAAAATTGAATAACTGAGATAAGTAGCAATTTGGAACGAAACGTGTCCAATCACTATTAAAGTTCATTAATTTTTCGAGACGATATTGGAAACGACTTTCTCGCTCGACAAGTTTGTTCAGTAAGATCTCACGAGAACTCAAGAAACAGTCAATCGAAGGCACTTTAAGGATAATTTACACGGCAAAAGAGAGAAAAAGAGAGATATAGACGAGTACGCACGACCAACGCGTACGATCACAAAATCGCATATCACACCGAACCCACGCACGATTCGCGCGTGCGTGCTCACGTGTTCACGGATGCAACCGGGTGGTGCAACGTGGCCAGCATCACGTACCCACGCTTCGAGCGCCCACGCGAGATGCGTATGAGCGCGTGACGTTCTTCGTCACACGAGAACGACCCGACTGAGCGAATGAACAGAATCTAGCGGGAGATCCAGTCCAAGAGTGAATCATGCGTCCCACGCTTTTGCCGGCGCCGCTTTTACTGGCGGTGCTGCTCGCCTGCCAGGTAGCCCGTTGTTTCCTACTGGAGGGTTCCGCGACGAGCTATGCACAATTTCGCAAATGGAACGCCGGCCTGAACGGCACCCTCGAGTTCGAGTTCAAGACCGAGCAGGGTAACGGGCTGCTGCTCTACACGGACGACGGCGGCACTTACGACTTCTTCGAGGTCAAACTGGTCGAGAGCGCTCTCAGACTGAGGTACAATCTTGGCGGCGGGGCGCAGATTGTCACGGTTGGCCACGACCTCGGCGACGGCCACTGGCACAAGGTACAGATCACCAGGTGTAACGAGAACACTACCCTAACTGTGGACGGTATCGGCGCGGTCTCGACGTCGCGCGGCAAGGAGTTCGAATTCGGCAAGCTTGCCGGGAACTCGGACGTCTACGTGGGCGGTATGCCTAGCTGGTACAACAGCAAGCTGACGCTGTTGGCGCTGCCTAGCGTCATATTCGAACCAAGATTCAATGGATTTATTAGGAATCTCGTGTATGCCGACGGGGAAAATACTGTGCCCAGAAGGCAGGAGATGAAGAGTCGGGATGTCAAGGTAAGCGTACAGTACTACCCATTTTTGTATCTACTTCGTTCGACAATGTTAGCTTCTCGATTTGTTTAAATCGGAAAATATTTTACTGAAATTGTACGGAAATATGTACAATTCTAAACGTAGATCATTCGTGCTATCTTTGCGAATTTTCCACGGTACGTTCACAATGTCAAGCTGATGACTCTTTTTGTACAAATCTCGTATCAAACCGTGACATAATTAATGATAATAATTTGAAATGATAATAATATTAATATTATGTACAAAATTGCCGTTGCGTTCATATCTTGTTTTTATTATTTCCTTAATCGCTCGTAATTTATCATATATGATTTAATTTTTTTCGTGAAGAGGTGGATATTACCGTAATATATGTGACCGAAATAAAGAAAAGGATCGTTCGCTGATTGAAAGTCGCCGGTAAATTGGGAGGGTGCCAATCATGAGTTATTGGATAGTCCAATTTAATAGATCACACATCCTAATACCGGCGCAATTAAGCCAATAGCACACAGAAAAACTTAAGCAATAAATAAGTCAACATTTTGAATTTACTATTGCTTACGTTAATGCCTTACGTTCTTCACTATTGGCTGATTCGCTTCCAGGTAAACTGACGTCATTTTTATCATCAGTTTGACGTCAAAATGACGACAAATAATGTTAACCACCTAAGCTACAACCACCTGCTTACATTACTACTTAAGTTTTTCTGTGTGCCATTGGCTTTATACTAGAAAACAAAAATACTGTCTAACTTAAGACCTGTGACATGGAATCAATTATTTATCAATCTGATGTTTCTCTAATCTGAATTATTCTATCGAAGAACATCGAGGCGCATTCACAAGAATTGGGTCTATTAATTAGTAAGTTAATCATTGCAAGCGACGTTTCGTGTTTAAGATGCTTTTGTTATTTCGAAAAGAAACGCTATGTATATATTATAACCTGAGAGTAGTGATTTGATTTTTTTATGTAAATGGTCACTTGAGATATTTTTACACCCAATTATAAATTATTATTATTGATATCACATTGTATATTATTAATTATTTTTCAATTTACTAGTATTTGAGAACATTATGGATTTATTCACAATTTTTCGAAACAAGCAAGTAGAAATCGAACAAATTTTAAACAAACAGAATAAGCATTAAAAATATGACAGTATTTTAAAAAAAACTGAAGATGTTAATTAATAAAACACTTTTTCATTGCGAGTTTTCGATGAAATTGGATATTTAAAGCTTCTTAAAGAATAATTGTTAAAATAAAATTTATTAAACAATATCTATTGCATTTTACAATTTACATTTTCTCATCGCCGCACTGAGATAAAAAATACCCAGGTTATTTCCGGATTAATGAAAAAACTCAGTGTCTATTTCTCATTCGTTTTTATATATTATTCATCCGCTACAATGGCAGAAACTTATTAAAGGGGGGGCCATTATCTCGCAAGCAAAATTTTTTTTAAGGTCAAATATAAAAAATAGAATAAAATTAAATCATTATTAAAATTATTACATTAAAAAAGTATTATTTAAATAGATAATTCATAAAATGTTTTATTTAAAATTATATTAATACAAAAGAAGAATAATATAATATAGAATCTATTTATTTTTAATCTAGGAGTTTCTTAAATTAAAAAATATTTTTGGAATATCAAAATTGTGGTTTCAGAAAGATTAAATATATATATAATATTTTATTATAAATATTTTTAAAAAAGAAGACTTCAACGAGAGGACATGACTCCCATGCCATCATGAATCGGCCAGTGGCTACAACGATATAATTAAAAAATTGTCAATTTAAAGTTCATAAAAGAACAGAATATAAAGAAAAAAGTAGAAAGCACATACCTATTTTCATTCTTTTATAATTAGAATCACACTAAAATTATATTTCAAAATTAATATTATCTACACAATTTTAATACTACAAAATTCATTTTCTGGAAAACTTTGTTTTTTGAATCGTGTTGTGTCGTCACAAATAAACGATACCTTTTCATTCCCTTTTTAATTGCATTCGCGCATCCTGTATTAAAATTATAGTATTACAATATGAAATGCGAAGCGCGAAAGTTGTCGTTTTCTATCAAAGAATCGATACACGGTAGTCAGAACAATACACGTTGTATATCCAGCAGTGTCATTGGCCCCCGTATGCAACACCGCGCGGCCAGTATAGCTGAGTCAGGTTCATCGAGAGATTCCTCTTGACGCGCACTAATGCGAAAAGCGCGTATGCGTGCGCTCCGTCAGCATAAAATCAAGACTTTCCCTATCGCGAATCGCGCGTACATAAGGGACTAAAAATAAATTCCTTCCATTTCAAAAGAAAGAAGAAGTCCCCTCCCTTCTTTCTTTCCGCGCCGTTTTATCGTTCACTTCCAACGATCGATACTCCCTTCATTGTTCAGAGTAACGTCTTCGAGATAACAGTCTTTTCTTCCTTGATTTTGTGCGTGGGATAATTAGCAGACAGATAATCCGTTCGTTCAAGTAAAAATTCCTTTCGGATACGCTTTTTCTATCTCCCGAGAATTTTGCGAAGCGCTTGTCTACGCAAAGGTCTGTTTAATTGTTGGATATTTTATACGTATTCAGGAACTGGAAAAGTCCGTTTATTCATTTTTTATGACATAAAGCTCATTATGCTTTCTATGTTTAGTTAAAAATTAAACTCTACGAAATAATAGTTGTTTCAATTTTTGGCATTATAATTCTCTTTATTGTTATTTTAGTTTGATAATAATAACATCAATATTGATATTAACTTTTCAGCCTGTCTAAGAGAATTAAGATGACTTTCTTTCTTTCGACGATACAATACGTTCCATTTCAATGTGCCTGTCTGCTGGCGCCCCATGACAGAATTTACTACGTGTTACCGTAGAATCGAGCTCGGTTCATATTTCTCTCAATGGCCGTCTGCCAAGAATTCCTCCATCTACTCTTCGGATATGTATCCCGCTTTATCCAAGTATTCCCGGAATCTTGTATCTCATTCCGAAAGTAATCTTGTACTTAGCAAATAGCAGTCAGACATGCTTGTTATTTCCGCGATAGCCAACATCTCGATATCGAGGATACAAATTGACGTTTCTTTTTATATCGTGATGATAGAATTAAATATTTACGCTATGATCTATATGAATGTCGTTATGTGGTTTAACCGTTTATGTGCAATACGAAGATATATTAATTTATATACATTTTAAATTTCAAAGTATCAATCTTAATTTACTAATACTTAAATTACGAACCCAAACTATTTGTAATTTATAAAAAACAATTTTTATTTGCACAAAAGTTACTATATATAGTTGGCTAGCACTACAAAAACTATTTAAAAGATTAAGGATACATTACATGTATTTTTTAACAAAATAAAAATATTATGAAAAAATTATAGATTTTTCTGTATTGTATTTCTGAACAATAATACAAAAACTTCGGCGGCGATTTAGAATCTAAAAGAGAAATTATTTCTATATGAAGTAGATATTTCTAAAAAATAATTAAATAACAAAATTTTTAGTTAAATTATAAAATTGTATTGTTAAAGATTGATATTGATCATATTGAGAACTGTCATATACAACATTCATTTTTATACGGAAACTATGAATTTTCAATTCCACTTTTTCCAGAGACACTTCATACATTCTTAATTCTTAACTGTCATCGTGGATTCATTAGATCAAATTTTTCAACGTCTGTCAAAATTTGTTTATTACTATGCTTTAAACAAGGATCAATGCAATACTAATTTTTAGTTTTTATTATTCGTTTTGATTAAAAATAGATAAATGAGGGTCTAAACATAAAAAAATATAATAAAAATATTTTCAAGATTAATGGTTTCTTTACAACGTCAATTAAGACTTAAGTAAGGCGTATTCGTAAATTTAGTCACACCTTGCTGCTCGATTGGTCACACGTGGTTACGAGGCGCGCATCCGTTTACGATTAGATAAGGCGACAAATCGAGAATATCCGTCAGGAGGATCGCCATGCGATTGCCAGTACAACGATGTAACCCGGTCGACATTATCGTTCTCTGTACATCCATACGTGACGTTACGGCGACACAGATAGATAACCCAAATTTATCAGTACATAAGAAATTGTGGACATTATTATTTAATTATTTCCCTCTCGTACGTATACAGAACAATAATTTCTGACAATTATTATCTGAAATTTATTAGTATTTTGCTAATCGTATTAATAAAGGAAGAAAATAAGGATCTTGCAAATTCATCATTTCCAAATTCCAGATGTACGAGTTGAGGATTCATATTTTATTACATTATAATAGAATACGTGTAGCAGAATAGCCCCAATTATCATTCTTCAATGGGCCCTTTCTTTTAAATCCGTTCTTGATTCTCTCATTGCGACGCTCGCCGTTTTACATTGTCTCCCATTATATGAGCAGGGAAGAATGGAAGATAAACGAGTTACGCTCGATAGAAAATCTTCATTTCCCGCGCGAAACGCCTCTCCAACTGCCGGTTGCTTCGTATTAATATTATTTTTCTGTCGTTAACGTTGTAATGTACGCGCGGCACGAAAAGCGATTATCAGACGTACAGGGAGTAAGGGCGATCAACGGGCTACAAATGACTGTCGTGAAAAAAGCGAGCAATTACTCGTAGGAAGCAATTATTTCGTACCTGTTACACCTTCATCGTGACTATATCGCGCACAGAATGAATTAAACAGTCGTTAAGTAAATAGAGAGAATGAGGAAACGATTATTTATAGCGCTCTATATGATGATTGGATTTCGAGCAAATGTCGCTAATGTCAAATTGTAGAAGGGTTAAGTAGTGTAGTTAACTTAAATGCTTGCAGTATGGCCTTTTTTTCCAATATATTTTTCCAATGTTTTTTTTATTACTTATAACTTTTTTATCAATAAAGTACCTATATATATTTGCTTGGTACTGTTATATTCCTTAATGTCTGGCGGTTCGA